GAATGCAAATTATTTTGGCACCAAATTGTCCTGTAAAATTATTAGGAAGGGATGCAATGTCACAGTTACGACTAACGATTGTGCCCGATGAGACTGGTGGAATGACTGTGAAAAGAATAGACAAAACAAACACTGATGTTATGGTTGTGCAAGGAGCAGGCACGCCAAACTATTTATGGTCATTAGATTTGAACACTAGTCCGCTTTTGAGTGTCCCAACAACATTGCTTAGCAAAATAACAGATTTGTTAAAAATGCCAGACCAAATCCAACAAGTCGATAAACTGCATGTAACGTTGCATTTTAAGCACACTCCAGGGCAAGACGATGATTTTGATAAAAAGGTGCACAAACTGAAATCTCAACAAATTCTAATTCAAGACATAATAACAGATAAAGACTGCATAGCTGTTGCTACTGTCAAGGTTTCAGAAGAAGCAGAGAGATTACATGCAGAAAGTACGGTTACCCATTTGTTTTATTAGCAAAACAAAAAGGACTGTCATGGCAACGACTGGGTGTAATAGCTACCTCAGCTGCATACCGCCTTGACTGGGAATAGCAATCAGATAACACCTACTACAGCCCTTCACTGAACTTTCCACTGAAAATGTACAAATTCTGCTGACAAGAACAAGAGAACCTCTTAGCAGAGATACCAACAACATTATGGTCACAAGGCAATGCAGATGTAGGACAATGTGCAAACCAGGGATAATAAGACCAAACAGTGATTATAGACAATGCATTAGACAATATCCAATCAAACCAGACGCACAGTTCACAGTTTTATCTGCTGAGCTAATTTTGCTACATACAAAATTATCTTTGGGTCCAAAATTTAGCCATCAATTTATTTCATTTTTTTCCCTAACTTTTAGAAATTTTCTAAGTAATATTGTCTGTTTAGTATGGATATTTGCCTTCATAGGATATATATATGGTTTTCCTTTTAAGAAAAAAAAAGAGATTTTATTATTATTTATTACATTTGCTACATTTTTCATTTTAAGTTACTTTTGTATTGCTTTGCTTATTTAGTTCTGTTTCTGAAACTTTTTTTTTCTATTTCTACTACTGTACTGTACCAGGCTCTTATAGGATAGCCCAGTTGTCAATCACAAATAGGGCCATGCTGCTACATAGAACACACATGCGTGTGTCATGAATGCCTTACATAATCCCTGCCATTTCAACAGGTAAAATAGATATGTTGCATGTACTGTTTCACAAAAAGAGTGGTGAGATAGAAATATTGATGTATGTAAGGGTAACACATGATTGTTGTAGCATATGTCAACTCTACTGCATTCACAATGTCACGAGGGCATCAAGAGAAAAAGAAGGTAAAGAGAAAGTGAAAAGAAGGTAAAGCGTAAGTGAGAGAAAGTGATGTAAGAGTCAATAAAAAATATGTATCACCTGAAGGGAAACCAATTTTACCAAAATCATTGTTCAAATGGGCTGCAATATTGAGCCATGGGCCTTGCCATGTCTCAACAGGAGGGATGGTGAATACTATAAACAAAGTATTCACCACCTATGGATTTAAT